AAAGGATTTTATAAGAATTATTTAATTCACAGTAAGTTGGAAGACTCTCCAGTAAGTTAGAAAGTTATCTAATTCGTGCCAAATTCTTCCAGTAATCAGTGATTTAACAAACAAGAATAATAAAGTTCGTAACCTGTAAGATTTTCTTGTATGGGTACTGTAATCACAGATACCCGTTGTTCGATACATTATAATATGCAACGCACCATGAATCATTCCTGTCACCTGTAAAATATTCACAGCTGAAAAAAAAAACCCCAGTCTTTTCTTCTTTCAACAAAAATTAGAAACTTGGAGGAAATTCTCTGTCATTAAAATTAACCAACACATAATGAATTGTAAAGTGGACCTGAAAGATGGAGAAAGCGAGAACATGGCGAAAATGATTATCTTTGGATGAGATAGCGCTAACCATTGCTAAGAAAAATAATTCTAATAAGCCAAGGAAACAAGTGAGATAACGGAAAATACTTTGTACAATAGTTTCCAATGGGGTTCTGAATAACTGTGCATATGCGACTGCTGCTAACACTCTGGAACTATTTAATACAATGTATTAAAAATACTGAATTTTTCTCCCAATTGTCAGATTTCGTACATTATATTGTCTTAGCACTGGTTAGGATATTTAGCTGATCGTCATCCTCCGATGCATTATTCTTGTTCCTTATTCTTATTCTACATTTAAAATTTTAACTTTTACAAAAATCCACCGGGGTATAAGATGAGTGAAAATTAGAATCCTCCATATCAACCGCCCCCAGTAGAAATCACCAGTAGCGACCGATATCGATGGGAGAACATTACGAATACGGCAATGAGTTCTACAAATAAATTAATAGTAGAGGACATTAACACAGTTAAATCAAGATGTACGCTTCTTCATAATTTCACCGATACAATTAATTTTTTTGCTTGCAAAAGATGGCTGATTAGGAATTTCCAATCATGATGATTAAAAAATTTGTAAAAGATTCATAATTTGTTTTGAAATCAAAAAATATTTGAGCCAAATCTTATATTTTTCTCAAGAAATGTCCTCAATACCTTGATGTTTTAATCAGCTGACCAAGACAAGAAGACTTATGAAATCGATTAAAAAGATCGAAATATGCGTTTCGGTGCTCCGCATACTTAAACTAAGCAGTAATTTAAAAGCAATAATGTAAATAATGTAAAACAATACTTACTCCGTAGCTTTTTCGAAGTTACTATACAAAGCAAAAAAAATACAAAAACAAAGACCAGTGAGAGGTAAGGAAGAAAAGAAATATGTTGCGGCATGGGAGGAAATGCTAAAATATGCCTGAAAACTCGTTAATTTATTCGTCAGTTGATTTATCGGGAGTAAAATGATTTAATGAGCTGTATGTAGAACAAAAAACGAGGAATGGAAAAAAGTGAGATATTATCACTAAATGCAACTACAATAACTGTACCAATAATAGTAAACGGAAAGCACTACCTTTTACTTGCAAAGTTTCAGAAAACTGCGGAAAACTTACTTTTCGGTTATATAAAACGTAATAGTCAACCACAGTACCCAGAAATACTGGTAAAACACCGAACGTAAACGCAGTAACATGATGCTGAAAATATGATCGCTTATTTACAGACGAAACAAGTGAATGTTTGCAAAGTTAAAGGGCAAAAGTTCGAACTCTGGGATTTCAGAATAACTAGGGTATAAATGATCATTGTAGCCACTGATATTGCATGCGCTTCCCTCCGAGAACTTGTTATTTCAACCATTTCTACATACTAACCTATCTTTATACCTCATTTTTCCCACTGATAGTTAGCTAAAGTAGGCGCCACTTCTCATCTACGTTGTCATATCTTACCTGAATAGTTATCTTACATGAAAGCATCCTGAAATCAACTTCAGTATACCAAAAATATGTGATGAACAAAACTGCTAAGAATAGGGTAACTTACATGATGGAAAACTTGTGAACTTTTATCCAGTTTTAATCGATAAAACAGTTGCATGATGGTTAGTCATCCGAAATCCATTTTTGAAACGTTTGAAAATATTTTTGACACATTTTCGCTTCTTCACTAGTCATAATATCCGAAATAAACTAAATTATTGTGAAAGAGCACCTTTCCTCTGGATAGCCAAGAGACACTAACCATTCGCCGCCGATTGAAAAAACTATAGAAAGATGAACTAAATGATCGCAATTTGAATCGATACCTGCTGGGGACATTTTACAAAATTTCTACTTCAACCAGGTTACAACATACTCTTACGGCCATTGTTATTATCTCTATATCTCTCTCAAATGCTATTAATTTATTCCGTTTTTCAAATCACAATATGCTTTTTCTTTCATGTACAATGCAATTTTGATTCTTCCTCATCCTCTAATGCTATTTTACTCACTGAAGTTATTGTTCGTCCATAAAAAGTTCGTCCAGCTACTTCTCGAATTTTATCAATCTTTAATCCCTCTGAAATATATCCATATCTCGCCATTATCTCAATCATCTTGGCTTTCATATGACTGGTTCAAGTTGTAAGGAGAATAGTAAGACCAGAGAGGGGAACTAATGGTTTGTTAATTTTTCCAACTTTAACTCCTTAAGAGTGACTGTCAACTCTTCCACAAAAAAATGTGTTTTTTTTCTATCACATCCAGTGGTCATATTTGAAATATTACCATATTTTCATTGCCTATCATTTTGATGAAGAAAAAATGAATCACAACAACATATTTCTGCGTACTGAATTTAAACCGCTTCATATAAATCAGTTGTTCTGCGAGGAGAAAACGGTTTGCTCAGTGGGTGTTATTTTGAAGGTGTTGAGGGGTTGACATTTGATGATACGTGTGAAGGGGTTAGATGCGTATATAGTAGGATTTAGGTGTATATGGTTTATCTGATATGGTCATCAACCAGTCTTTGTTACTCCAAATGTGTGCGTCCTTTGCCTTTTGTCATCTATCCTTTAGCTGGTTGGTTTTAAAACTTTTTTAAAGGTTTTCTAACGAGAACCGTGTAAATTTTGCCGCTGGTGACTCTAGCGTCTATCCTCCTGATGACCATTTAATGGCTCATGCTTTGTTGATCTTAGTTTCTGCTATATTAGCCGGCACGTTTTAGCTTGCGTTTTGCCGTACATTCATATTGGTCTTCCTTTTATCTTGCGTACCATATACGTCATCGACTTGATATGATATAAATGTTGGACGCAGTTCTTGCTCATTAAAAGTCAAGTAAAAGTAAACATTCTATTATCCAGTGAATGCCCCACTGAGTTTTATGAAAAAAAAGCATTCTTCATTTATTGCTTTGTGTAAATATTTAATCTTCAATATATGTTAATACAAGTTCTCTCCGAATAAATAACATTTTTATTTTGGACATGCATATAAAGCGGAATAAGCCTGATTTCAGAGTGTATTGCGCTGATGGAATATTGTACATTTCATAAAGGTAAACGGAAGATACTGGAAAGTGAGTCAGTTGATGGTCGTGAGAATGGTATATTCCTGAATGATTTCAAAGCAAAATGCAGCAAATTAATGTTCCAGATTGACTGTGAACTTAGCAAGATTTATGAGGAGGTCGTCTTTGAAGTAGCTGCATTCACGAAATCATATTGGGAAAACACGTTGCAACCCTCAGGTCTTTGTGTACTAAATTTAATAAATAGCTTTTCAATCTATTCATTTATTTTCCATTAACTATTATCATCATGGGAAGAATCTCTAGAGTAACGATGTTCCTCTTGGTTTTTACTGTGGTTAAGTGTAAGAAGAACAGATTAACGGGAGCAAACGGTTCATAGAAAGAAGTACTTTTAAAATCGGAAGAAAATCCGTCAAAATAGGTTAACTGAGCAGTCGTGACAGTAATTCTTGCCTTTTGTGCTATAAAGTCGTATGGATCGGGGCTTTTAGATTAGCTTATGGAGTCTGATGAAAATCTACAGTGTTTCTTCACTTCTTTTTTTTGCAAATGAAAAGACAATCCGAGCAAAGGACTAAAGGAAAATCTCTTGTTTGTTTTTGGAAAAAAAAAAAACTCGCATTCATTATTATCTGTTTTTATGACTTTCAGGGAAAATCTTTCATATTTTAACTACCACTTTGTCCTTTCCTATCAGTTGTCTAATCAACTATTTTAAAAACTAATGAAGGCTGTAGTGGTCTGCGTTGTTAATTTCCGTGTTGGCAACAGAATTTTATTTAGATCCTAGATTAATTTTCAGAATCTGTTTCAGGAATACCAATGGCAGTGGTGCGATGCGAAACACTAGATGGTTATGATTTTGAGATGGCTTTAGTTAACGTGTTGAAGATAAAACCAATTTGTATATCACCATCGCAGACAATGCAGTTGTACGATCTCCACGAAATGCTCCAAAAAATGGGGGTAATTACTTTGTAAACCTCCTTTATAACGAGTTTGAATTAATGTTCATTCCGTTCTTCTCATTCGATATTTTATCAGATCATTTTCAGGACAAAAAATATATAATGCTAAAACAAGTGGAGTGCTTCACAGCAGGTCCATACTTGGATGGCTTAATTTCGGTGCTCACTGATCCAATGTGGTCAGTTATTAGTGTTCATATCAGATACTTGAATTCTCAGCCTGAAATTTGCTTGAATAGTAGTTTTAAAATTTCCAGTGTTTCTGTTGAACTTCAATAATTTTTCGGTATTTGTGGAGTAGGCACAAGTTTTTCAGTCTACAAGACAATTTCAGGGAAAAGAAAATTGTTTTGGTAGTAACAGTAGCTGTGGATTTCAATGTCATTTTTACTCGTTTTTCGCAGGAAAGCTTCTGGAAATTGACTCTTTACTGCTTTCATATGCCAACGCCAATGTATGCCTTGCAAGCCGTGTGTGAAGCTGTTGTAATCAAACCCGACAACTATGTTTGTTCCTGAATTTGTAGATTTGAAAAGGTGGAAATCTAATGATTTCAATATTATCACAGTATAAATCGGTAATATTTCAGATGATTGTCGATGGTACACTTTATAAAGAACTTAGAGCAAGATTTCTGAGGGATAGCTTATCAGTCTGTGAAGTGAAGAGAATTCTCAAAGTAACGCTTCTGCACAAATTGCTCGAGTGCGAAGATTTTGGTAGTGATGTAGCTGTTAATAGCGGAAATGTGAGTTATTTCTTACTAGTATGATGATTGGGTATAAAAATAGGAAAAAGTTTTAGAAGGCCTAAATTAAATCACTTTTTATTGAAGATTGGGATGGAAACCTTGTTGGCATCTTACGATACATTTTTATACCTTTTGCACGAGTTTACGGCCGGTTTTCCATATCATGCAGAAAATGTGTATGAGTTGCATAGCTGGATACAGTCGAATCCGAATTTTTTCGTTGAGAAAGGAGGACCATACTCGTAGGTTAAACTATCTTTAAAGAGATCGTTTCTGTTTTTCCATTATTTTTAGCAGTCTTTAAACAGAAATCAATTCGAACTAGTATTGAGAATAAGGTTGATTGAATTTCTGATGAAAAGAGTAAGATTGGTGAATATAAAACTTCTTTCGGTATTTTGATAGGCATTCAAAAACATTTTGTTATTTATTTGACATTCAAAATGAGAGAATTCCATGAGAATTATTACTGTGTAACGATCATTTTCAGAACATGGAAGAGTATTTGGGTAACATGGAGTGTTGAAGAGATGGTAGAATCTTTATTAAAACTATGGAATCCGGTAAGACGAATAACCAATTGTTACGGCAATGAAGTGCAGGTTTTCCTTTTTTATGAAGATTAATAAACAGCGTTTTCATAGATGCTTACAATATGATCACTAAAATATGTTTACAATATGATAAGTAATTGTTCACTAAAATTAGTTTGGAATAGTTTTGCCCTAAGAGCGTGTACTCAGTATTACAATGGTGCAGTAAATTGAATGATATCTACCTCTTTTGCTATTGATGGTTGCTCTAGCAAGCATCTCTTTCTGTTTCGTGGTATAGCCATTATGATTGTTCATTTCTCCATCAAAGAAAAGTAATTTAATTGCTTTAAGGGGTTATTATGGTTAAACTTGTTTGGTCAGCATGTGCCAGAGATAAGCGGTTAAAAAATGCTTATTAAATCGTGGAATATGCTGCAGAAATTGCTTGTTGATTTACGAGAAATTGATCAGCGAAAAACTGCACTGCAAAAGGAAGCATTATCGGAACATGAAACAACAGTTGTTGGTATTTGTAAGAAAAGATTGTCGCTGCATGAAATGCAACAACGAATGAGGGTATAATTTTATCTTTGGTATATGAAGGAATAATTTATGCTTATTAGTCCTGGAGATGTTGCAGTTCTTTAATGTACTTGAGGATTTTAACCTTTTTCACTCAGTGAACGCGTAAGAAATGCGATTTGAATAAATTGTCCATATTCTGTTTTTAAAATTCGAATAAGTTGTAAAAATAAGCTAAAAGATTTTAGACTTTTATTCTTTGCATAAACAAATGTTTCTTCGTCTTAAGGGTTTTCCATTTTTGTTTGTAATATTTAGTCATTTCAGGATAAAATAGCTCTGAAGAAGCGTATGGATGTGGTATCTCATGATCGGCAGAGATTTATTAAATTGCTCACACAGGTATGTTAATGTGAAGAGTATGAACAAGGAGTTGTTTTGCAGGAAATAAATGCATCCTTAATCTTACTATCCATATCCATTTTGTGGATTTCTTTCAGATCATGTCTAAGACACTAAGGATTTTCCATAAAGTGCCAATTTTGGAAAAAAAATTGCTTGTTGGGCAGCAGGATGTGATGAATTTGGTTGTTCCTTCCACCACAGCGAATCTGGAAAAAGCATTTTTGCAACCGAAACTGCGTAATGAACACGTATGTTTGAAGTAGTGGTTCCCAGCATTCTGTTGGTCGGGGACTACTCTAGCTTTTTTATTTGTAGGATGGGCCATCAGGTTCAGAAATAGTAAATTCTGTTAATTTGGAAATATACTTTAATCAAAACTTTCAAAGTATTAGTTGAACTTGAATTAACATTATTATATAAAAGAGAAGGGACATAATTTTTAATACCCTTCGCGGTTCAAATTTTAGGGCTGCCAAACTACCAGTGGTAAAAGCCTCGACTTTTTAGAGTCAGAGACTAAGGGGACTGTTTCTAGTTTCTTCATTTTCGCATTGATTTTGTGTCAGTGACATGTTAAAAAAAACCCTCTGCCATTTATCGATTAAGGAAAAGCAGGAATAGTTTTCCCTTTTAGCGCAGTGGAATTCAAATGGATCTTTGCCTTGCTTACCGATCTCTTCTCGACCTTTCACTGGAATGCAAGAATGTTCCGATATACCGTTGGCTGGCAAGATTTCAGGAGTACTTGGTGGATTTGAATGACACCAGTCCAGTTTTGCGTCTTTTCCGATGTATCGGTGAACTGGAATTCATGGGGATTTTGAAGCCAGCTGGTGATCGGAATAGGAATAAAGTCAATATTCTTTATGTTCCTCATTCAGTTACGTACTGATTTTTCTTTTTTTACTATCGACTATGAATAGTTGTTTCTTTCCATTCGGACACTTCACTTTCAAATAAATGTTACAGTTTTGTTTTGGCAATAATCCAGACTTCAATTTAGAGGGTAAGTCAGAGGTCTGTTTTATTGCATTATTCAAGTTTACACTATGTGTTCGTTTTATATCTTACCTCATTTTCTTATTTTTCTGTTTATTTTCAAAAATATCTCCAATCTTTAAAAATCTTAAAAAATACAATTCTGCATAGAGGAATGGTAACTTTTACTATTTCGGAGAAAGATTAAAACTGCTTTTTAGGAAATATGTGGTTCGCAATTATTTAAACTTCATAGGCAGCTGTCATCGATTGCTTGTTATTCCTTGCATTTTAGATCTCTTCATTTTAAAACTTTCTTGCTGATACTGCATTATTTAAGGGAAATTTTTGTGGTTTCCAAATGATTTTTGATATTTTTTTGTTTGGTTTCGTTCTTTATTTGTAACAATGGGCCTTTTAGTATTCTACGTTTTTCTTTTGTTGTCGGTGTTATCAGTGGATAAAATTATTTTAAAAATTGCTTTGTTCTAAAGAGTATATATCTCTCAAAGCATATTTCTTGGGTATATCGATTAGATGTCATAACTGTGGAAATGGTGACAGTTTAACCCTCGAATTACAAATTTGGTAACATTTATGTCAAAACCACGAAATTTTTAGATTTTTATAATAATGGTGAATTGTCACGAAAAGTTGGAGAGAAAAAAGAGATCTGTTGTCCACAATTTTCGGAATATAGTCTTATTTTATGGTATTTCAGTCCATTCTTTTTTCAGTTCCAGTTCTTTGTATCGTATTTCATTACTGTAAGTGTATGCAGTCGCAAATGCGAAGTTCTTACCCGAGTATTCTAGAAGAGCGGCATTGCAGTATGCATGATATGTTTATCAAATAAAAGGACAGAGATGGTATAAGACATGTAACTATATAAATATGTTGTTTTCTCTTTCTGTTTATTCTTATTGTGCTTCAGGAAATGGGTTCTTCAGATGAAGGTTCAGACGATGATTACAGTGTTCTTGGTGATGCATTCCGTGATGTTGCTTTTTGCAACAAAACTGCAGAAGTCGATTGGGTAAGTTGGTTGCTTCAAATTTGCTTGTTACATTTTGTCTTAGCGGTAATTCAGATTTTTATTTAGAAAATAAATCAAAGATCTGTTTTATTACATTGCCCAATGCAAATTGCAGAGCTCTTTCAAAACTTCTGGTCATGGCTTTACCTAATTGATTTTGTCTTGTTCTCTTTTTCATTATCCGTGATAATTGCGATGCGAAAATGTGCAAATGAAAACGATTTTTTTTGCTTTTTTGGAACTGCAATTGCAGTTTAAAAGGCATGTAAGATTTTAAGGATGCTTGCAAGGAATATATGGATCGACCAAACATGCAAACAGTAGCCTTTCATAATCTCGTCAAATACAGCCTATTGATGTTCACTCTACCATTCATTGCAATGTATTGTTTCTATTTTCTCATTAAAGGCAAGCTTTTTCTTTGGTTAAGATCAATTCAACTAGTATATTCGTGCTACCAAACTGAATCCAACTCGAGGTTGTTTCAGTTCACTGACATGTAGACTATGTGCAGCATACAGCAGTTTGTAATTTTGGATGAATTTATTACATAAATTGAAGTATTACCAGAAGTGATGGCTTTTGATTTCTTCTGCTTTCCTTTTATTTTATTCAATGTATGGTAGTTGAAAAATGCGCCTTTTTTAGTGTGAAAATTTCCTTCAGTTTTCAAAGTGAATATGATTTCCTCAAATCAGTATATAATTTCTCCAGATCGTGTTGGATGGTCGCCATCTTCTGCTGTTATACCTGCCGCTCTTGTTGCTGTTTTAGTGGTTTATTTGGTGATCGCCCTATTCGTCTATGTGGCATACAAAGAAAAGAGTGATACAGAATTGCAAGAAATTCGAAAGAAAGGAGAGTAGATGTGTTATCAAAGATATGCTTAGTTATTATGTTAAAATATGCTTAGTTTTTCATGCTAGAAATCTTTAGTTGTCAAGAACTCAAGTCTTATGTTTTGCAGACTGCTTGGCGTGCAGTCTATAATTTCACTTGTCAATCTTTTTCGTCAGTTTTTCATTTTTTGTGAAACTTTATTTTAGGACAAATAGTAAATAGTACTTTGTGAGTTTTTTACAATCATTGGTAAATTCCACCAACAGTTATTCCTGTACTTATTATTTGAAAATAATTTCGACTGCAAACACAGAGAGGCGGATTTTGTCTGTACAACTTTTACTGTATTCATGATCAGCCAATAAATCGCTAGATCGAATTAGAATTTTCTTATGAGTGACTAAACAAACAAAAGCTTTTTTGGACCAACAAGAAGAGGTCATACAGAATAAAATACAATTTAATCGAAGAGTTTAAAAATATTTTTGAATCCTTGGTCTATTGAATGATACCAGATTTAGATAAATTTTTATCATGATTAAGATGAATAGATTTTTTTCGTGGTTCTATTTGAGATATATATATTATATATATATATTATTATATATATATAAGGCAATGCTTTCAAGAGATTTTACTAGCTGAGATGTTGAGTAATTATAATTGAATACTTAATGCAACATTTACGGGTTTTTATCCCAGCTGAATATATTTTGTGTATGTTTTGTAAGCTCTATGATGACAAAAATTTGGTGGTAAAACACTTTGTTTTATTATGTTTCGTTTTGAGAAGGAAAATTCTGTTTCTGCGATTTTTTATATATAAACATGTTTCAACCTAAAATGGGAATGGAAGTCCAAAGGAGAACTAAATGTTAGAAGCTTTCTCTGTCAGTTATGTTGCATTTCCAACGTTTGTCAAATTTGTTAAAAGAAATGTGTTAACATTTCGGAGATTTCATTCCTTCAAACGAAATTATACTATTTACAGGATTTTTCAATCCAAGAATTGGAATACCTAATTCTGGGATCATTTGATGGACCAGTTTATTCCTAATCTTCGCGACGAAACTGTTCAAGCAGCAGTGAAAAATTTGCTAACGTACTCATTAACAATTATAATAGTCCCACTGGGATCTATGTTCTTTTTGAAAAAACTCTTTTTTGAAGGTAAATATTTGTTCAAATGAAGAGTTTTTCTAAAAAAGATATTGCAAAGGATTCGAATAAGTGAGAATCTTCATCGTATTTTTGATAGAGGTGCATTGTGACCAATAAAGTTTCACATCAGAAATTAAAGTATATCACTCGATCTCAGTCGAGTGATACACTTTTTTTAATTATTGGAACTCTAGGAGGATTTATGTGTAGAGATGAAGCGGATGATTTCTATTCAACCTTACAAATAAGGTTTCTGAATATAAAAGTAGTAGAGTTTGAACATCTGTTTATCTTTTTAAATCGCAGCGCTGCTTGGTTACGACAATCAGAAATCGATTTTATATTCTGCAATTCTTGCGGTTTTACTTGTTCACATTTTGCTTTTTTTATTCGTTTACACAGCTTATCAGTCAGACGCAAGGCCTGAGAAGGAAGAGTAGCAGCGATTATGTTGACAGCAACGATTTTTCCAAGTAAGTTGTTTGATTCGTGTTTTTCGTCATTCATCTACCAAGTATCCTGCGGGTTCTTTCAAGAGCCTTTCCATTCCAGAAATTATTTCATTATATTAGCTATTTCATTATTTTATTTTATAACTGTTGGGTTTTTTCCTATGATGGTATTAGTTTGTTTTATTTACGTACCTTATAAATAGCTAAATTTGGTCAGTGGCATTTCCAAGATTTCTGTGCAACTGTGTCACAAGTTCATCGAACTTAATTATGGTTAAAAAGTTAGTACAGTTCAGAAAGGAAATGTGCGCTACTGCTATTTGGTATGCCTGGTACATTTGCTCTGATTTTAACCCGGCTGTTTCCTTGTTTTGAAAGCAAGCACTCTCTTTTCTGTTAGGTGATACGGAATGACCAGCTCTTTCCCTACTTTTATTTATTTTTCGGTACTACGGAAGAGTGACCATTGAAAATATGAGACTTATCACGCTCTAATAAATCATGAAATTGTAGCTTCTGATAAAATGTCTCTTGGCATAAAATTCATTGAGAATTGAAATCTAGTTTTGTTTTTATTTGCAGAATATCCGATATATTTGGGTTTTGGAAATGTGCTTGAGCCTCAGCTTTCCTATCGCTTATTGTCACATTATATGCCACTGGGTAAAATTGGTGGTAAACCCGCTTGGTTAAATCCTGTTAATCTTCCTGCTAATAACTCTCTTCTTTGTCGAGTTTGTCTTATTATATGTGTTAAATCTTAATGATAAATACAAAGGAAATCGATTAACGAATTTTGTTTCAGCGCCATGTGCGATATATGAAAAAGCATGATACTGTTTCTGAGTGTGTAGAAGATCTTCACGTGATATAAAATACTGATACAAAGACATATTGATTGACATTTTTCAAACCTTGCGTATTTCTGAGCATTTTTTCCGTGGATTTTGAAAGCTACAAATCTTTACCTTAGCCTAATGATTTCTGAAAATCTGAAAGTCAACATAACAGTTCTTGAAAGCAACAAAGAGGATAAACTTTGATGAATCGGAACTTTCTAATTTAGGTCTGCGAGAAGCCAATGGTATTTTTAATTCAAGTTTATGCTACAAGTCCCAATGACCAAGATTATTCATTTCATCGAACTTTATTTTTCTTCATTTGTCGAAATTCACAGTGTTCACGGGTAAGCTGCTACCATGTGGATTTTATATTTCTGTGATATGTTTGTTTGTTTCTGTTCTTGCCAAAACTCCCGTTTTCTTTAAATTTCTTGGCAAATATATTTGACCAAATACTACAGCAATATTTCAGAGTAATGATGCCAGTAATGTCCGCGCTTTTCGGTGTACCTTGTCACGATTCAATGATTTCTACGCTTCTGAACAACCCATTGATCCTGATCTAGAAGGTGATATCCCGGATCCGTTCTGGAAACAAACTTATCCTCATCTATGTCAAATTTGTGGTTGTAGTGCTACAAAGAAATGTGCCCGTTGTGAATTTACATGGTGCTTTTTCTTTCGGGATTTTTCATATACTAAAAAAGCGAATTTTTGGTTTCCGAGTTTTTCTATTTTTATGTATTTTGAATGATATAAGAATCATCTTTTGATAATTTTAACATAACATCTCCTTTTTGTGGTTTGAGCTCTTGTTCTTGATCGTCTTTTTGCTCTTTTCGGAAGATCACCTGGAAGGTGGCTAAATTTAGTAGAAGTAAGGGAGGAGGAGCAAAATAATCTTTTTTAAGCATTTCTGTTACAGATACGAATTTTTAACTTTAATGCTGAAATAGCGACAAATGCTTATAACTTATTGTTCAGGTACTGTAGCCGTGAACATCAGATAATTGATTGGAGTTCGTCACATAAAAGGGAATGCTGTAAACAGAGTTCAACTAATGAACTCCTTTTTGCAGTTCCTGATAATGAGGGGAAGTAAGCCTTACTGTTGATAATGTTGGAGAAATAGAAATGGCGAATGAAACGTGAAGGGTGGGAGAGTGAGCTGGAAAAAACCGTTAAAAGAAGTCTTTTTTCTTTACGAGTTTCTTGGTACTGAAATAGCGACAAATGCTTATAACTTATCCAAGTTTCTTCTCAGAACTTTAAAAACTTTTTCTCCAGAGACGATGAAAATAGCTGGATAAAAAGGAAAAGAAGCGTTGCAACAAATGCCTTTGTTTTCCCGGAATATGCAATAGAAATGGGTACAGAGCACTTGCCAAGAAACAATCATGTTGACAGTGATGATGATGATGATGATGATGATGATGATGATGATGATGATGATGATGAAATAGTGACAGTGATGAAGGTAGTGCCGAGAAACGCATGGAAGAATACAGACAATATATGAAAAAACATAAGGTTAGATACATGTTTATTGAAAATAATTGTTATATTACCATTCGAAAATCTTATATTGCAATTACTCCCGTGCTGCATCGTTATTGTTATAATCTAGATCATAGGAGATAAAAAATTGGATTGTAAAAAATTCACGAATCGATAGCATCATATTTTGATTTATCATGCTTTATAGTTTGCACTGTATTTTAGTCGATTTCAAGTTCGCTTACTTCTCTTTTTCTCTAATTTGTTGATTTGTAATTTACCTGTGGTAGAGTGATTAATTTTTAAATTTGATTCAAAAATTTTTTCAGACCCCGTGTGATTCTGGTAACGGTGACTTGGAGGATTTAGAAGATTTTGTTGATAAAGACATTGCTTTCAAACACTTTAATAAGGTTCATTATTCACTAAAATCAAGTAGTTTTTTTGGAAATAGATGGAAAAATAGAATGTTCGATAGAGTAGATAATTTAGCAAATGTCATCAAATTTACAAAGAAAATGCCATCGATTTTTTAAACGATGCTATGTTAATAGCAGTAACACTCTGAATTTGTGTATGATTGCTTCTGGTCTACAGTTAATTAGGTCTTCGAATATATTTCTAGGTAGTAGCGTTGAATCCTGAGCAAGTATTGCGTTATAGCCGTGGTGGTGAACCGTTGCTGGCAACTGATTATGCACCACCACCTGAAGCAATTCCACCGTGTTCGCTATGTGGATCGGAGCGCCAATTTGAGCTTCAGCTTATGCCCCATCTTTTGACACTTATTGGCGTTGATGATCTCGGCAAAAGTATTGATTGGGCTACATTGATACTATATACATGTACGCAGAACTGTCATGTGCCCAATGATGGCTACGCTGAGGAATATGTTCATAAACAAGATTTTCACTGAATATATAGAGATATGAGAGGAAAATGCTGGAGTTTTCCCCCCAGTAAAAAAAGTGCTACCGAACTTTTGAAGTTTGAAATTTTGAATGTTCATGAAACTTGTGAAAAATCACACCTCTTGCATTTATTAATCAGAGTTTCCTATCACTTTATTTCCTGCTCCTTTTTATGTTCGAGACATTTCAAATTTACTGTGTGAGCGTAAGATGGTGAAGCAATGAAAGCGTGCTGATGGAATCGCCTTGCTTTCCTTCCTCCACTCTTCCCAATCTTTGTTGTCCTTTGAACTGGTCTTTTGTATTAATGAACTTAAGAATAAAAATCGATAAAGTTAATCTTGTAAAGAAGGACGACTGAGTAGTTGTTATTGGTTGTAAAGGACATGCAACTGTCAGGTGTGATAGGTCATTATTAGAGTGACAAATTACATCCCAAAACAAAAATTTCGTTTCCCTTTCGCTTTCGCCATCTCTCTCCTGTTGCATGCCCAGCGGAAGTGAGCAGTTGGACTTTCTGAGTGCCGAAATATAAAATATGGTTTTATGACTGATAGAGCAATAAGGAAATGGTTTTGAGACTCCGAAAGGCCTCCGGCGTGCAAAAGCAAATCGGTACAATGATTTTATGGTCCTTTAATGTTGTAAACTTATTTGTATTTAGCGACATGTGTAGAAACGTAATTTGCAGACAGACAGCATGAAAGGAGTAAGAGTACATCAACAGGTAGAGAGATATGGCTTTTCAATATTTTTTAGCAGACATAGGTGACGATAAATAGATCAGGCATGCAGGCACTGATTCAATGTATCAGGCAATTTAAATTGAAACACTGAAAATCTGACTTTTAAGGACCTACTACTGGACAAACAATATACCTTAGTAATGAGCAATACGAGAGATGGGACAATTGGAAGCGTTCTTACTGTGGTATATCTGGCCAGGCAATAAACAGGAATTGTCTCAGGGGTGGAAGGGAAAAAAGCAATTTTCCTGATGTCTTTTTTTGTACTGAGATCGTACTGAAGGATTTATATGCGTGGTTGGTGGTGACTTGACCGACCCACCTTATCATTTGTAACAAATTAAGCATTTCGTTCTCGTTTGTGGATAATATTGTTGAGCGCTTCTTCGTTTCTGTAAATGATTGCTATCGTTTACACCGTACATGCAGTTCAGGGTTTACAGTAAGCATGAAGTTTCACTGAAAGGGTAAGTGTGAAATGTTTGGGTAATTCGTATCTCTTGCCAATAGTTGGAATTAAAGCTTAAATTGTTGAACTCATTATTTCCTTTTCATTTCATCTAGCTTCTTACCGCTTCAGGATAAGGGCTAGAGCGGAAGAGGAAGGGGACATGACTAATGAGAGAGAGGAAGAGTTATATTGCCTTCTAATTAAGCAGAATGAGGCAAATGATCTACTCATTGATACTGTTGCAATTAATTACAGACAACTGAATTGGCAATTATTTTGTGAAAGCTTTACAAGAAGAAAAATATTATGGGGCAAGGAGTTAGAGAGAGGAAAAAGGAGGTGGAAAGAGGATCTGTATCATTTATGAAACTTTCATGAAAGGAATAGAAAGGAAGGAATAGTGGATGGCGTGGTATGTATGCTTAGTGTCGTATGTCTCGCTACGTGTCAACTACACTATTTCTTGAAATGTTCCGACCAAGAGCTCCACCTATTGGCTGGGAAGGATTGGTTGAGGGCGGGGCTTTTGATCTGAAAGCAAAACTTCCGCGATGAGAATCATCGACAAATTACCGTAAACTTTTGAAATAAGTGGAGGCGAAGTTGAGTTGTGTTGTTGCTCGTTGTCGGGACTGAAAAAGCGATAGGAGACGGCAGATTTCGAAAATCATTCTATATGCTTTTATGCAGTCATTTGATATCGAATCTCTGATTGGTACGGGTAGGGAAAGAAGCAATGGCTGCTCCGGAATATCTGAAAAAACCACAGAAACGGAAGCTGCTAAGGAAGTAGCACTTATTAAAGCCACTGCTACCAAAGATTTTCCGGATGCTGCCGCTAATACTACGAAAGTAAGTACATCAGCAAGTCCGAATTTCGATCGAAATTTGATAAAATCTGAGTTCTTAAGCGGTTCGGCATCATCTCGGCTGCGTCCAGAAGCTTCAACTGTATGTGCAAATAGAACAGTATATTCGGAATCGAAATGTTCAAGTACCGCTTTCCACGCTTATCCCTGCATATCCGATAGCAAATCCCAGTGTGCACCGTCATCTCCATCGGTGTCAGGTTAGCGTCTCTTTAAATTTTGAAAATTAAACCGAAAGTTTTAATGAATTTAGATCTGTGGATTAAATAAACAGTGGAGACGAAAATTACTAAATATCCCAACTAAAGTGTCCCACTGTTCAACAAGAACATATTGGAGTCAGATTATGAAAAATATCTCACTTTCTAAGTAATTCCAATTATATTGATCCTATTTGACGAAACAGATTGAGAATATGAGTGAAAATTAGATGGATTATGGCTAATTATCCAATAATTAAAATATAAGACATTTTAATAGTGCAATAAGATGACTCGTTTGACTTTTCTTTTTCATCAATGATAATCATTTATTGTAGTGAAGTTGACATTAAAGTTGACATTTTTTTTAAACACTACAACAACTTTTTCCTCAGCTCATCTCATTTATTGTTAGCTGACTAGCTATCATAAGATAATTCACTTTTACTGCAATTTAGACTTGATATTTAGATGTTATTCCATTTAATTTCAATCAAATTATCTGCAATATATTCTCCACCTCACACAGTAAATCATCTCAAATAATTTCAAGTAATTTATTAAAACATTTTAAGTATACTTTTGCATAAATTTAATGCAAACTTTATTTTTTTGCATTGTATCATGATAAATGCCAAAATTATGTTTTATTGCCGTCTCTCAGAGGACTTAAGGTTTTGCCGATGGTCGTAGGTTAATTGCATTATTTTTAGTTGACGATCAAATTGCATGACCACAGGGCTTTTGATTAACTAACACGAACACTACCAATACATTATTTGTGAATTATTTTTAAAATCATTGTATCCGTTTTCACTTCCCTCAAATTCTTCTTACACGTTCGCATCCTTTCCGTCTGAAATTTGCGTAGATAGCGGTTTTAAAATCGCAGATATTTCTGTTGAACTTTGACAGTTTTTCGGTATTTGTGGAGTACCCACAACTTTTCCGGTCTGAAAGACTATTTCATTTGGTAGTAATACTAGCTATAGTTTCAATATCATTTTTACGCGCCTTTCGCATTAAAGCTTCCGGAAATTTTCCACAGAAAAACTTTTGGAAATTTTCCCAGGAAAGCCTCTGCAGGGTATACCATCCTCTTCATTGTGGTAAAATAGAATTGACGAATGTTTTTTGATATCAGAAATTGTCTCGGTCGTGTATTTTATCTGAATGTAGTGAATTGCATCCATATTTGGACACACAGAGATCACCTTCTGATCACTGAGGTCTTTAGGAAATGCATAATTATTTGGAATCGATTACCAACTAATTTGAAGTAGTAATTTAGAAACTTTTTCATAAAAGATTATTGTAACAATACACGTAGCAAGTAAATTTAATTATCATCCAAATGTTATGAAATGGAAGAAATAATAGTGATAATTACGCTTTATAATCCGATTAATTAATTTTACCATATCCTGTAGAAGATCACAATTCTGTTACAAATAATAGAACTGAATTTTAATGGAAAGTGAACTCATTGTGTTCTTAAATGTCTTTTATGGAAATTTATGTAGAAAACTCCCATAACCTATCGATGTCTTCTTACTTAATTTTCTTTCAAGACAGTACTCTTTGATGCGAACATTTCTCAGTGAAACAAAGTGATAATAAGATAAAACACAGAAGAGACGTGGCACCACTACCTTTTCCTTCCGAATTGTATTATCAGCAGTGGAGATGTGAACAGGAACTAATAATGGTGCGATTATTTTTTCAAATTCCATAAAGTTTCTAAAATTTAGGGAACAAAATGTAGGCGATAAAAAAGAAGTAAGGGGAAGAACTGAGCTTCTGCAATCAAATTTATAACTATATATATATATATATATATATA